CCCTCCCCTCTGGGACCTCAGTGCTTCCCCGACTATTCTCCTTAGCTCATTGAAGTCCGCCCTCCTGAAATCTAGGGCTGCTGCCTTGCTGCAGGCCTTTGCCACCTTGCGCTGGATGGTGAATTCCAGCAGGCTATGATCACTGTCACCCAGGTGGTTGAGCACCCGTAGGCCCCTCACTAGGTCATCTCCCGTGGCCAGCACCAGGTCCAACAAGGCTGCCTGGAGGCCCTGCATTCTGGCTAAGAACCTACGTGAGCGGTTGAAGCATTGTAACTCAAAGCTGATTATCCCATAGGAAATAATGTTATAAATGGGGGATTTGTTCCTGAACCAAGGCCCAATACCCTATTTTCACCAAAAATAACCCAGAATTGTGTACTCAATCAATTATAGATGCGTAATATAGCTCCATTAGTGTATTTATATTGGAAATAGCAATCATATTGATTTGGAAAAACTTTTTTCATAGATTTTATGGAAATTAGGGGCTGGAACGGACCCCATGAGATCATCGGGTCCAGCCCCCCCGCCACACTTTTTGAGGTGACTTTGCTGGACTTTTAGAAGGGCTCTTGGTTGGACTTTCAGAAGGGTTCTTGGCTGGAGTCTTCTCAGGAGTCTTGGCTGCAGGTGTTTCTGGAGTCTGCTTTCTTAAAGGCAATGTCCAAGGAAGTTTAGACAGGTGTTCTCCAGGGAGATGGGTGATGCAGCGAATTTGTTCGCTGGCATGACATGGTGTTGAATCAAGCATTGTAAAGTCAAAACTGACGTCAGAAAGTTGAAACAGGGTGTCAATTTATAAAGTTGTAAGCGCAAAATGTTGTAACTCAAGACGTTGTAAGTCGAGGACTGTCTGTATTTGAATTTCCCTTGACATTTTAAAATTTCATTTATAATCTTTTTCTTAATGGCAAATTATATTTAGTGTCTGTGGGGAGAGAAATACTCTGCCACATTTTACAGTGGTGGAGGCGTGTCCACATGCACAATTAACGTGAAGCAGTAAACTCCAGAGATTGCTCCCGGGTACACTGTTTGCATGTATTTGCAGGACTGCAGCATGTTAAGCTAGCCCAGGGCTGTTCCTTCCTGCATAGCATGCTGCAGAGGGGCTGGTTGGGGGATGAGGATGCTTGAGTGCTGGGCTAAGTGGCAGGCATCCTCCACACTGAAGCACCCTCGTACCCCAGCTG